GAAATTGGAAATGGCGGATCTAAGCTGGCGAACACTATTTGAGGCATGTCAATGTTTCTACACTGTAAAAAAAGTGGGAATTTACCGTTCTGGATGGGTAACTTTGTGTTACCAAGTCTGAGATCGGGAAAAAGACAAGGTTACGAATCCACGCCCTGGGTAATTATCGACCCAAAATCAAAAGAATTCATTCCTTGCTTTGGTAAATCTCCCTGATATTAGTCATTTCAAAAGTGGCGGTTGTTGACGTAGATATTTATCACCACAAGGCCAACTGGTCAATTATCATTCAATTTTTCTGTTTATACCAGGTTAAGAAATAGGTCAACTAGTATAATTCAAGCCCATTTCTTGATAAATAGGATTTTTCGTTTCTAATTTACCATAAATAATTGTGAATTTTCTTCGCTGGAATGTTCTATGCAATGTTCAATGATGATTATTGAACCCCCAAAACCCCCCGTGCGCACGGCCCTGCATGGACTGCGTGATGAAGTTCCCAGTACGTCCCCCAAAACTCACGGCCATCCACTCATGAACAACTCACTTCAGTGTGGATGGATTAGCCCTGTTAAGTGAAAAAATCATGCAGTAATTGACTTCTTTGGAGCCAATTTCTTTATAAAGGAGAAGAAGAAAATGATTCTACTTGAATTATTAAATTGAATTTGAAATTCAAAAAAAAAAAATATAATTATTAGAACAGAAATTTTTACAACATGTAAATGTATAAAAATATTAGCCATAATTCTTGCTTTTAAACATTTTTATTTTAATAATTTCTTTTAAAATATATGGAGTGCATGAACTTCTCTTCAAAATAAATGTCAAATGACATTTTACCAAAACAATATCGAAATTATGACGTATACAGGAACAATACCAAAAAGTTAAAGGCGCAATCTGCAACACCAGTCATTCGTGTAGGTATGTACTGAGTTTTTGTGTGAGCAACAATGCGTCATAAAAATTGCTGACGACAACCATGACCATCAATTCAGTTGACAAAAGCGAATGAGTGGGTTCATAAAGGCTCTTAATTCTAGATGGCTGATGATTATATTATATAATATATTTTTATAGATGCCTTGATTTGCATTTCGCTTGCATATCTAGGTCAGTTGTGCACTTGTATTCCCGTTAGAGCTTAGAAGTGGCTAATGTAGGAATTCAATGAGCATTGTGGTGTTAATGAACTTACTGAGTGGAGAAAAGAGATATGATAAACTTTCGTGTAATGACCATTTCATGTAAATCATTAGTACCCTTCAGATTTGTACATAGATATTTTAGATCTTACTATCACCTAAATAAAAATATGTACATGTGTAAATCCATATTTTTTTAAACCTCTGAAGAACATTAAAATGATAATTTTTTTATTAGGATATGTTAAGGGTTTTCGTAAGCAAAACTATTTAAAAATTTTTGATGAAAAAACTTTGAGGAAATTAAATAATTTCATTGAATTTTTGGTCGCTTATGGAAGTCCTTGTGTGATTCACTAAGGCATCGTTATAAAAAAACGCTTTCGGACAGAGACTCAATCGCCTAGTCGTTTTAAAATTACGTAAGTTCCTAGTGCCTAACATCGACTCAGACCACTACCTGGTCGCAGTGAAGATACGCACTCGTCTCAGTGCAGTAAATAACGCCCGTCAGCAAGCACAGGGAAGGTTCGACGTCGCATAAGTGCAATCTCAACAGGCAGTGAAATGATTTTCTACTCGACCTATACTTCAGCTTTTTGAGTCCGTAAAAGGAAAATGTTTGGCGGCACATTGACTCCTTATGAACAGCTACCGAAGAGAAGGTCAAAGAAAGAGTTAAATCGATGAGGATTAAAGCACTGAAAAGAAGCGAAAAAAACTGCCTGCCTCCCAACATTGTCGCGAGCGGTCGCAATGCGCGCTGTGTGGAAGAGATAGTGAGAGTTCAAAAGGAAAGTAAGAAGGAAGCGACAGGCAAAAGTTAAAAAATCTGTGCAAAAGTTTGGCGATTGCAGCATGTTTATGTTGGACCAAAAGTAGCGGTCCTGCAACTAATGCCCAGACTATACTATATTTATGGCGGCAACACTGTTCCAGCTTGCTGAATGGTAGGGAGAATGAAACACCAGCTGAAGCCACTTCTGATGCCTCCATCGATGATGAAAAGCGACGGTAGAAAAGCTATTTAAATATGGCAGCGTAGGTGCTTGGACGATGGCAATATCTTATTAGTCGGTATTAAGAGTTTTCAAGAGAAATCTTCTGTGGAAGATTTATAGTCGTTCGTGCATGGGCAACGGCGAATACCAGGACGCCAAAATAATGGAACAATAAGCTGTACGAGATATACGATGTTATTGACATAGGAGCACTCCTGTTTTAAGAGTATTAAACGCAATGCTCGCTGGGAGAAGCAGTGGAATGAATCTCAACTCCATTGGAAGGATCAGAAAAGAGCACGAACTGGATTCACTTGGTGTTTATAATAAGTGACAAAACAGCGAAAAGAAGAAACAAATGACGGCGCACTATTGTTGATTCCGCTATTCACGAGTAAGTGGTGTCCGAGCCAAGGAAGAATACGAACAGTCAAAAGTTATTCGGATCCAAAACTGGTAGGAAACGGTGAATGGGGCACGGAGCCCTCATTTAGAACAGGACAAAATTATCACGCGATATTGTTCTTAATCCACAAAATAACATAAATATTTAACAGCTTTCTCTTGAGAAAGGGTAAAATCCATGATTTATTTTTGAAAAGCCTCTCCATTCTCAACATGTGGTGCAGTTTATGGTATGGGTCATTCGACCTTACCAAATTTTTAAAATGAGGCAGGAGCAACACTTACGGCATTATTGAAAGGTGATTAATGATGGCTTTTCCCTGCAACTGGTTGGTCTGGACAACATTTACTTTCAACAAGACAACCCTTTGTGCCACACACACACACGAAACCATCGATCATTTAAGGAAATGTTTTCGGACTGTGTTATCTCTCGAAGAAGCGTTCGCATTTGGCCACCGATATTTTGGGTTTTTACACCTTTGGAACCACATGAAAGATAAGATCCTCGTCAAGAGAACAAATGTCAAGGCCTCAAAAATGGAATTCGTGTAGCTATTGAGGGCATGCAGCATAAAAAGAATACGGTCCTGTAAGCCGAAGCCATTTGATAGATATTATTTTCCGTTATTAATGGCATATATTTACATTGAAACGAAAGTCCCAGTATTTATATCAAAAAATGACATTTTTTGTTGAATATCAAAATATTACCTCCGATTGGAAAACCCTGTATTCGTAACATATTTCAAGATATTAAGTAGTTCATTTAGTCAGGAAAATCAGGTGAAAATTAAAATATCAAGCCTAGAAGTGGTAAACGCGATACAGATACTGAATCCAAAGAAATCTCCAGGCCACGACCTTATTATATCAAAAATGCTAATACAGCTACCAAGAGTTGCACAAGCATTGCTTTCTGAACTTATTGGTGCCATTCTAAAACTAAATTACTTGCTAAACGGGCGAAAAAAGTAGCAGGTATTACCAACTTAGGCTTTCCAAATTATTTGAAAAAATCTGCCATCAAAAATATCTCCTTTTCTCCACCGTAACAATGTGATACCAGATCACCAATTCGGCTTTCGTGAAAAGCATAGTACTATTGAACAAGTTAACCGAAAAACTAATGAAATCGGAAAGGCATTCGAGCTCAAGGAGTACTGCTGTGCAATCTTTCTTGACGTAACACAAGTCGGGCATAAAGGTTTACTGTACAAAATAAATAAAGCTCTGCCTGTTCAATTTTATATGATACTTAAGTCATATCTGACTAACCGACAATTTACTATTAAACAATCTGAATTTATCAGTGAGGAGTATCCGGTTAAAACTGGTGCTCCGCAGGGCAACGTCCTTGGGCCTATTTTATATATATATCATATACACTGCAGGCGCCCCATTAAACCGTAAAGTGCAGACATCTACCTTTTGCGGATGACACTGCTATTTTATGACGAGATAAATACACTGAAAGAACAGCAAAAACGATTAGTGATCATTTACTCCTCATCGAAGAATGGCTAGAAAACTGGAGAATTAAAGTTAATGAACAAAAGTGTAAACACGTTACATTTAGTTTAAGACCTCAATCATGTCCTGCAATTCGCTCCAATGGTATAAACATTCTCCAAGTAAATGATGTTACATATCTCGGTATACACTCAGATATACGTATCACTTGGAAGAGACACATAGAGGCAAAAATACTACACATGAAATTAAAAGCAGCTAGTTTAAATTGGCTTTTAAATAAAAACTCCGGTTTAAAACTAGGTTCCAGTCCAAAATTTTAAGAGCACTAACGGGCGCACCATGGTACGTACGTAACGTAAATATCCATAAAGACTTTGGTATTTTACTGGTAAAGACTGAAATTGAAAGAAGCAGAACGAAGTACTTCACAAAGAAGAGAAATCCGCTGGCTAATGCTTTATGTAACCCATCAAGAAATTCCCGCCTGCAGCGAAGAGATGTTCCCGCCTTTTAATAGGCTTATAGAGAGCGTCGTAGTTTGAAAAGGGATCAGTGTTAAACAACTCGAGCTATCATGTTTGTAAATTAGTTTTTAAAACTTATATTAAAGCAGATCCAGTAAATAAATGAATTGCGTAAAAAAAAACTTAGTCAAAACTTATGCAATAATGCCACCAATTAATTCGAACTGCAACTTTTCTTTTCGTCGTTGTTGTGAAATCTAACCTTTACGGTATGTAAGTTGTTTTCGACATAAAGACCTAGAAAATACTTCAAGCTTTATTGAAATTAAACTATTTACAAGATCGAGATATTTAATTTTAGGTTAGTAAAAATACAAAATAAAAACACAAATATTTCTAGCACTACATTTTATTACAATTAAGTGTTACATTCTTCTCTTTACCCGAGTTGCGCCAGCTAAATGACAATTCGACTTAATGTGAACTTCTTCTATTTTACCTTTGAATTAATTAGTATTATTCATAGTGTTTAAAAACATGAAATAAGAAACCGCAGATCGAAGAGCCTAGAAAAAAAGATGAATTTGAAATTTATTACCTTTATTTCCTACACGTTATTTTGCAAACAAAATCAACTCACCGAACTCACGGTACTATAAGTTAATGGAAAAATTTTCATACCATCGAAAACGATTGGTTTTTGTGCATTCATTATAGCGAATTCTAAATCACGCAACAACAATTTATTACTACGAATATCACCGAGTGACAACAAATCCTCCCAATGGCAAAAATAGAAGCTGTTCTGCAAGTCAGTGGTCTGAGCAGGCAAAATACGAAAATAATGAGGGGCATTAAAAAATTATATAATTAGATTTTTCGCATAAATAACAAGACCCTAATTATATACGAAATATAATGAAATACATAATGAAATACTTAAGCCATACCTCATCCATCAGCATTTGACCAAAATAGCCAATCAACAAAAACTGCGAAGTTTGCGAAATGAGCCAGGCAATATATTTACTCCACTCCACTGTCATTTGTGTCTATGTAGTTCGAGAAAGAGAGCAGTGCAGCAAAAAAAAAATTACCAAGAATACCAGAGCGTAAGAATAATTGTGATAAATGTTGGAAATATTTAAATGTTTTTTTTTTGTTTTTTTTTTTTTTTGTTTTTTTTTTCTTTTCGGTGTTGTACTCACGCTCTGAAATTGAAACGAAACAACGCACAGCAGCAAAACGCCAAAGGACAAAGTGTAGAAAATTTGGTGGGTGAAATGAGCCTTGGCCTCGGCAACGAAGCTGGAATAGGAAATTGCGTAGCAAAAAGTAAATAAATCAGGCAAAAAATAAAAAAAATATAAAAATAAAAAATAAAAATAAAAAAAACGTAAGCAAATGATAAATGGGAATTTCGCAGAAATGCATAGAAAAACATATGCAGCGCTACTTGCAAATTAACATTTCCATACGTTTTTAAGGTGAAATTCCACATATTCTCTCGTGCAGAATTTTCCATATTTTTTAACACATATTTATCACACAATATTCTAATCCACATTACCCATTCAAATCTTGTTGTCTCTGAAAAATATCACAAAGACGTCGCCGGAAGGCTGTATGCAAATCTTCATTCTTGCGACGTGCCTCACCACAGCGCAAATCCGCACGAGACGCCTCGAAGAGTTCCTGCAAATCCAAACGCAATTTTTTATAACGAAAACTGGCATGACAGAGCACCATGCAGAGCGTATAATCCTCAGCGGTCCATATGGTGACAGTGGAAATCGTCAGCCAACCTGAGTATATAGCTGTGATGATGAATGGCAGCGGCGCCTGAGCGTCATACCAACGAAATGACATGCGATAGATAAATGGTTTGTCAGGGTATGCCAAACCAACGCTAGCAACATCGTATGTATAAAGGCCGAGTATGAGCACCATTGGTGTGTAGTAAAAACGTGTAAATATATTGACAAATCGTATAATTGTGTTGATTTCCTTATACAATGCTCCATCATCAGCGCTGGAAATGGTGAAGCGTTTTTGCTTTATATATGCCATATTTGGTGTGCCAATGTGGCAAGTGTTCAGTTGTACCTACCTGGTAAAATAAATGTCGCGATAGAAATTTGTAAGTAACTTCCTCATCGGACGCTGTCGACTAAGCAGCACAAATATACGTATTATATATTGTATGCCCATAAATGAGGTTGACAGACAATCAGCGACTGCAGGTATATCACTGAAATTTTCAGCCACAAATGTAACCTCACCTAACATCACAAATGAATATGTAAATAAATTGGCTTACAAATCATGTCAATAAGTAAATGCCACTTACCCAAAATGGTGCCGATATAGCATAGAATACTCACACCAAGACATAAGCTACTTATTAGGCGCATGAAGACGTTGGCATCTTCTTTGAGTGGCCATAGGAAATTGAATTTGTAGCCTGCCACTTGTATGGGCAGAATAATTGGACTGTTATCGTGTTGCAAAGGCACAAAGAAGTCCATAATTGACTTAACCGCACACGAAATGGTGAAGTGTATACAGTTACAGCGCAAATTATATTAAACAGGAGTCTAAGGCGCTTTGGTTTTTATAGCTGCATTTTTACATTAAATTAAGCTTTAACGGTATTTACATTTCACATATGAAGTTATCATTAATTTTTAATAACAAAATAATTAATTACTTAAATATTAAAAACGTTTATGAAAGCACAAGTAAATATTGTCTTTAGAAATATGTATGAAGTTTCTTCGAATAGGTGTTGTATGGGAAAATGTCCTTACACGACAGTGGATCAACAAAAATTGCCCCCCCCCCCCCCTGCGGGTTAGGGAATTTACCCATGGTAAGGCATGCAAGTCGTAAGAGGCGACTAAAATCTAATAGTTCCCGCGACTGTTGGGTCTTTACACAGGAACGACCCGGATTTTTAGCCGGCCAAGAACTGTCACTTCCGCAACATTTCCCTAAAAGTTCTAGTTAGAAATATTTTTGTTAAAACAACAACAACAGAACAACAAAAATTTGTCTCGTATCAGTATTTACTAACACATTTCATAAACAAGTAGCGGTATTAAACAATACAATGTAGATAGAGAATCAAACAAACTAAGTCTCGCTATGCTTCTGGCGAGTCAACCTAAGCGCGCCAGTCGTTCCTTTTTTTAGGCGTCCGACGGCAATGGAAAGCATCAAATAACACCAGGTGCTTCGTTCTTCAATCTCTGCTTCTAAGAGCGGTTACAAAATTGAGTATTTTCAATACTGAAGTATATTCAACCAGTCGAACGATGTGACCTAACTGTCTGTTGCTAAACTATGCCTTGTGGTCATTTATCTCGCACAAATCGTCGAACTATAATCAGCGATATTCGTCGTTGGATAAACAAAAGGGTTTGAAAATTTTTGGTGCAAAAACCTTTTTCTTAAAAACTTCCAAAGGTTCAAGTTTCTGCATCATAGAAAGGTCTGAAATGATGAGCAACTTGTAGAGTTCGGTCTTTGCTCTTCGGTACTGGCACCAATTGGCAAGAGTGGTGCTACCTCGGATTTTCAGGCTGACATTCGTAGTGCTGTGCGCAGCTTCAAAGTGACGTGGGAGTCAAAACGTTGACAGTTTGCTCGATGACAAATAATATTTGTCTTACCCCCATTCACAAACCGACCCATTCGCCACGCTTTTCTAATCACCCTCTATTTAACTTTTATTATTTTCTCAAACATTAGGTTGAAGAAGTCTTACGACAAAAAGGCACCTTATTTGAAAACTAGTTTGGTATCGAAAGCATCGGAGTGGTAATTTCCTATTATTCCTTTGGTGCTGTTCAGTATCAGTTTGCTTAGCTGTACATATAAGTTTTGTGGGGGTATCAAACTCAGACATAACAACATGGAGACTGCTTTTGCTGTTGTAGGAAGATTTAAAATCGAAAAAAAGGTGAAGCTTCTTTTCTCCGGGACTTTTCTAGAATATGACGCACGGTTCACATCAGTTCAATGGCAGGTTTGGCAGCTCTGAAGTCATATTGAAAATATCCAATCAGTTCGATAACCACTTTTTATATTTAAGCGCTAACTAGAGTCTAAGTTTTTTAAAGAATCTCCATGAAAATTGCTTTGAGAGTTGTTTTTGGTATGAACTAGTCATAAAAGAGTTGTTCAGAAAGGGAATAATGCTCCTAGGGAAATTTAATTGGGTATAATGTCCTCGTATCATGAATGGCATTTCGACACTGAAAGACATTGTTCAGAGGCGTGATTGCTATTTCAGCTGCACATTTCTGCTCCTTGTGAGTTGAATTTTCCCAATGAAGATATGCATGCCTGCAGGAAAAATAAAAGTTGTTAGCTAGAAACTAAATGGGTTACATTTTTACACCAACTAGTTTATCTTTCAACTATTTACCATGAAGTTAACCAGTCAGCTTCATACTAGTTGTATACTACTTCATTTTGACATGTTGAGCTTCTACATCACAAAAAAAAAGAAACAAACAAAGATCCGTACCGTGCACTTCAGGCGCTACAGTTATAAACTCGAGCCACTCGGCAATCGTGGCAATGATGCCATGAAGGATATTTTGCTCAACAGAGCGGATCTCTTGGCTTACCTCTTCCATATTTTGACTTTTATTATATATGAGCATTTTATAAAATTTATAGTCAATACATCGTATATGAGTAAAGACAAATATCTTTCCATCTTGTTTTGTTGTTGTTGTTGTTGTAAGCACAAAAATATTCCCCAAAGTACTTTTTGGGGAATGTTGCGGGAGTGAAGTCCTTGGCCGTATAAAAATTCGAGTCTTTCCGGTATAAAGACCCAACTGTGGCGGGAAATATTGGATTTTAGTTGCCTCCTACGACAGGCATGCCTTACCGCGGGTAAATTCCTAACCCGCAGGGGGGAAATATTTTTCCATCAAACCCTGCTCTTGCCAGCAATTTTTTTATTATAATTATAAGTGCTGCTATGGAGAAAAATTTTAACTTAAAACCCAACTTAGGCAAATCAAACTCAGGCCTACACCAAAATAGTCATGACCTTAGCCAATTTCTAAATTTTTCCTTAATAATACGTACATATGCATATAGTTACATGTACTCTTATAAGAGTATAAACCTTTTTATGACAAACCGCTGAATAGACAATAATAAACTTACGAATCACCTTCTTAATACTCTTTATATGTACATATTTTAGTGGTAGGATTTTCTTTATTTTTATAAGGTTAAATTATTAATTACCGTTATACTAAATAATTAAAGATGTACGCACCGGTATGTACAAACCAATTATATTTTTATAAATATTTGAAATGCGAGCAATTACTAAATTAATTCTTATCCTCCAGTTTGACAAACTGTATATACTCGTACACATGAACATAAGTATGTATGTCAATTGAATAATTACTCTGGTGTTTTTGTTGGGTACGCAAGTTTAAATTCCTTAAACAGACTAATATTTTTAAGTCAACAAGGGAAAGTTTAAGTAAGCATTTATAAATACTGTCAGACAGTTGTTGTTTATACTGTATCCAAGAATAATTATGGAAATTGTAAATAACATTTCTACGTACATATTATTGTACTTTATAACCACTGAAGTGATTTGTAACTGAGATACTGTTGTTTGCTTGAAAGTTGTAAATTCTTGCAAAGCTTTAGGCACTGGATTACTGCTACCTGTCATTTGTTTTTCCTCTCTGGTATATGTGTCAGCATATATATGTACACTCGTATATATATAATACAAGGTGCGATCCAAAGTAAGAAGAACTTAAAAAAAAAAATACAGAACAAATGGTTTTAACGGCAAAATCAATTAATTTTATTCAAAATAGTCTCCTTCTGCTTTAATACAGCTTTTTGCACGGTCCAAAAGTATGTCAAATGAGTGTTTTCGCTCGTTGCCCGGTATGGCCGCCAGTGGGCCGGTGCATGCCTTTTGAATGGCCTCCACGTCTGCATAACGCTTTCCTTTCATCGGCAAACTCATTTTTCCGAAAAGGTAGAAGTTGCACGGTGCCATATCAGGTGATTACGGGGAGTGGTTTATTGTTAAAATGTGGTCTTTTTTTGATTCTTTAATGATGTCCTACGAATGTTGAATTCTGAGCAATTTTCGGTCGTCAGTCAATTTTTGCGGAACAAACCGTGCACACACCTCTTGTAAGTAAGCCCAAATGTTCGGTCAAAATGCGATAAATCGATGTTTTGGAGATGTTCAATTCTATTTCCATGAATTTCGCTGATTTTTTATGAATTCGCGCACTGTTTTTGTCATGAAATTTTTACGGAAAGTCGATAAAAGATTGCAGATTCTAACGCACTAGTCACTAGACATATATATGGCGCCAATAGAGGATGATAATTTAAAAAAGTCATGTTTACCTTGGAACGCACCTTGTATAATAAATCGACCAAACTCTTTGAAAAAATGGGATTTGTGGTTCCATTTACTTGCATAGATCGTGCTATTTTTTTATTTGATTTCGACTAGGGGCTTAACTTTAGTATGGATAATCCTAGAACCGCTAAGTGCGTTTGACTTACATACATCGAGGCATTCATATGGAAATTTTTGAGAAAGACTGCGTGCACCTAAGAAGTGATCCACGCATCCAAATAAGTAGATAGATCGATCTATATGCATACGTAAGTAAAAATCTTAAGTTTGACCCATTGAAATTTTTACACAGCAACAATGCCTGCTGTAATTAACCACCAATGTGTATGTCAACCTGCAAAATGATCTGTCGGCTGAAATATTTTCATTGCAGTTATTGGAAATGGTGGACGGAAAAATACCAATTGAACGGACTTTGGGACGGGTTATATTAACCGATATCTTCTGTAATTTAGTGACGTCAGCAGAAGAATTAATTCATCGAGTATTCAAAACCAATTATAGGGATCATGGAAGGCTGAGTTAGCGAGCTGACCTCGATGTCATCAAATTTAGAGTCTACAGCATTATTTAGTCCAACGTTGAGAACCAATGTGTCACTTAAAATTCAGTTGACCCCACTGTGGAAGCAGATAAACCAGCCAAGTACCGAACGGAATTTTATTTAAAAATCGGTGTGCTCATTATAATGCTGCTCAATATACAACAGCCGATACTCTGCAATGACACTTGACTTGCAATCAAATAGTTACAGAGGAACGTCGATAGGGCAGACATACACATCGCTCGAATCCCAATCACACCGTTCGATGCTCCTTTCAATTCAAGTGGCTACAATTCCCGGTTCGACTAGCGTTCGTGGGAAAATTTTTTTTACTCGGCAATATTGAGTAAATGAAATTGTGATGAAAAGATAACCAATTTTTTTTTCATACATTCAATAAGTATGTGCAACAGCGGCTTGAACTTTTTCCAACAAATGAAGGGACCTACAGTTTATACTAAACTGCCTCCGAACGGCTGATAGTTCTTTATGTGCAGCATGTGATTTCATGTCAGAAATACACTCGGGAGGGGTTGACATTCCCT